ACAAACCTTAGAGGTAACATTGATGACGTCGATCGAAACAGAAGTACGCCCCGCATCCTGAAACATGGAAAATTCCATTGACACTGAGATGAATTCTGGGTGACAACCTCACTACTACAGTTCACCGATTGCATGATTCCTACGGTAAACCTCTTCTAGTTTTGTTTTATTCTTTTTTTTTTCTTCTCTTCTTGTGCCTCTCCTTTTACGCAACACGAGTTCCAATAATAAGATATCACTCATTTTTTTTTCAAATTCACATTATGAATACAAAGATCATTCAGCAAACCAACCGATAACTGCTCCGAAGACCACCCTGAGAATTGAACTGCGGAACGATGAATCTGTTCAAAGCATCTAGATTCTAGATTTAGCTATTCCTCCGCCGGTCCTTCAGCCGAATCACACCCATAGAAGCTTCAATCCGAAAATGAGTTACATCATATGACGCCATTGACACAAGTCATATTTGAGATAACAATTTTGATTTTCCGATCCAATGGCCAGACATTTGATGGGTGTCTTAGAGACAAATCCTAGAGACAAATCTTAGAGTCAAATCCTAGAGACAAATCTTAGAGTCAAATCCTAGAGTTCTCAACTCTCATCCCAGAAAAGGTGTTTGATAATGATATCTTTCTTGAAGGCATGCGTTACCGAAGCCTCGGTGAAAGCATTCAATTCTAAAAAAAAAATAGCATTGTTAAGGAGGAAACAGTGTTATGGTATTATCACTTGGCTTGCGGTGGGACTGTGGTGGTGATTAGTGGGGGGTGGGGCGAGGTATAATAAAGTGGGGTGCATTAAAAAAAAAAGAATCATAATTTAATCATATCTCATCCAAAGTGGATTTATCCATTAAAGAGGCTTATCATAAAAAATGATAACTACGTGGAGACTAAAGCCCCGGAACATATAGTGCTTCCTTCTGAAAATAAGTAATTTTATAAGAGGATAAAAAATAACTTAATGTATTTATTAACCAGCAGAAATGATATACTTGGTGACGCAGCACTTTCATAGCTACGGTAAGTCGTGGCGCGTGCACATCCAAGTGGGACATTAATTATTATTATTTTTTAAATTTTAATAAAGAAAAAATGTCTACAAGGAACAAGCACCGTGCTCGAATGAACTACCGGGGGCAAGAGAGTTACCGGCCGCAGGGCTTATCATTGTTTTGGGGTCGCTGACGGATGGCTTGCAGACAGCCTCATTTCTAAAAGGTCTTATTTATAGTGACCCTGACAGGGGTGAGTAAAAACATCATTGCGCCTTAAACAGCCGCCCCCCACCTCCCGCCTTGTCTCCCCCTGTTTTGTTTCCATCAAGCATAGTTCTCTTCCTGCCCCCGACCACCCCCCCCCTCTCCCCCAAACCAACCACTTTTGCCATCTTCTTTCTCAGTTTATCTGACCGTTATATCAGTTGACTTCACGGGCCATACATTCAAGAAATTAAAACTTTAGTTATATAGCTGACCAAAGGATGTCTTTGTTCTTTCTTTTTTTTAAAAAAAAGATAGTTTTATTAGAAAAATCATCTCGGCTATCATCAACAGTTTGAATACTAGACTAACCCCCCCCTCCCCCCCTCCCCCCCCCCCAAAACAAAAAAACAACTTCAAATACCTTTTATGGTAACAACGTTTCAAGTAGACCACGAAATACCCAAAATCTCAGACTAATTACCCTAAAAATACCCTTACTTATGGATAGACCCTGAGTAAATAATACGTTTTTTTCTACTAAAGTCAGTTTGGTTATCATGTATTGAATATATCGAGTATCTTCAGGAATCTTTTTAAAAAATACAAAGTAATCCCGAAATTACTACAGAATCTTGAAATGCGCGAAATAGGTGTTCCAGTATGTCGAATAAGTCTCTTAAACTCATCAAGTCTCTCTTACGCGTACACCTATATACACCAACTTCTCATAAACAGCTCTCTTAAGTTCAACAAGTCTCTCTTACACTTACACCTATTTATAAACATAACAATAAACTAAATGCTGTTTATAGATACTAATTTAACTTACGCATCCTTTTTTTCCAAAAAAAGTGACCCCAAAATTTTTTACTTTTTAAAAAAAATTCCTTAAAAATTCCCCCCCCCCCCCGCTCCCCGACTTTTTAAAACCTGCAGTTCTGTTTGTCAAAACGACCCCGCAAACATCCTAGGCCCCCCCACTCCAGCTCCCCCACCCCCAATGTAACATTCCCCATGCCCACAAACTGCTCACCCTCCCTCCCCCTGCCCACGCCTGCTCGTCTTCTGTTTTACTTTGGACTAAACAAAGCTGAGAGTTAAAAAAGATACGTACGCTCGCGTACCCCATATTGATACACCCTGCGCCCTGCCCCCCGTCCCTATCTGGCACCCCTACCGCCCGCCCACCCCCTACCCCGGCTTGATGATGTTCAGAAGACACACGGCCTTCTGGCATGTGTCTCGACGGCCTGCGTCAGTCACACACGAGAGATGGTAAATTGGTGTCTCTTTTCTATGTCATCCGCCGCGATTCCAGGAATGTCGAGTGCGGAAAAGGGAAAAGGGGGGGGGGGGGCGGGCGCACAGATGGGGTGATAAAGCGGGCGTGGACTGAGGTGTAATTAATAACAATCGGAACGCTTAAATAATGGAGATACCTGATCTAACGGACAAGTGGGGGGTGGGGGGTGGCTCGTTTCATTATAATTGTTTCAAAATGAACTATTTATCAAAAGAAGATTCATCTCTTTGAGTTTATTAAGCCTAAAGTGGTCATTTTATTATTTATAGAAACACCATAACAAAAAAAACACAAAAAAACAACAACAACAAAAGTATAACATTTCAAGTACGATAACTCTACTTGGGAAAAAAAACGGATTTAAAAATGACGTCAAAAAAGTTAATTGCTCTCCAAGGTATTGTTCTATTTTCGACTAAAGATATGACTAAAACTAAAGAACACATCCACTGGTCTAGATGGTGTCCCCTTAACCGCAGCAATTTCTCTAATTTTTCCAATCTGTTAAGTTAGATATTAACCCAGTTTATAATTAGCCACACCAGTGGTGTGTTTCATTTCTTTCTTTCTTTTAAAAAAAACAACATTTTTCTTCTTTTTTTTTTTTTTTTTAAACCAACCGTTAAAATAACTAAACGCTGGAAATTTATCCTTTCAAGGGCAGACACTGTCTTCATTTTTCAAAGTCTGTGAAGAGTTATGCCCCGATTTTTTTTTTTTTTTTTTTTTTAAAAAAATATTTTTTTTTTTTTTTTTTTTTTTTTTTTTTTAAACAAACCGTTAAACTAAACTAAACGCTGGAAATGTATCCTGTCAAGGGCAGACACTGTCTTCATTCTTCAAAGTCTGTGAAGAGTTATGCCCCGACTATCAAAGCTACACAATATGACAATAAACAGCCCTTTAGTGAGAACGTTATTCTGAACACACACAAAATGTTCATCTCTGTGGGCAAGGACAACGGCGTGGATGTGTTTTTCATCTCTGCCCTGCTTCCTCTCCAAAGTCAGACTGGCACCACACTATATGATGTACTGCAGCACCGAGATGTGGTGCGGGGATGAAGGAGGTGGCCGAGGGAGGAGGGGGGGGGGGTGCAGCCCGAGTTTTAAAAAAAAAAAAACGAAAAAAAAAAAAAACTCTTTATGAATTGTGGGACGGATTTTTTTACGTTTTTTCAGAAGCTACACACACATCAACTTGAACATCAACACACACAAATCAACATACACGTCAAAACACACATCAACACACACACACACCAACACACTCATCAACACACACATTTCAACATACACATCAACACACACATCAACACACACACCAACACACTCATCAACACACACAAATCAACATAATAATCAACATACACATCAACACACACACATCAACACACACATCAACACACACATCAACGCACACACACCAAAACATACAAATCAACATACACATCAACACACACATCAACACAGACACACTTCAAAACAAACACACCAACACACTCATCAACACACACAAATCAACATACACATCAACACACACATCAACACACACACCAACACACTCATCAACACACACAAATCAACATACTAATCAACATACACATCAACACACACATCAACACACACATCAACACACACACACCAACACACTCATCAACACATACAAATCAACATACACATCAACATACACATCAACACACACACACACCAACACACACAACAAGAGACACGTCCAATGAAACATTTCTCGTTGTAAATTTTGTCGCAGGGAGACTCGGTCCTGCATTCGGAATTACTAGCCAACAGTATTTCCTATAATGCCATAATATGCCATCATGTGGATCTTAACATCTAGGTGCAGTAGATCATGTTACCAAAAAAAAAAAAAAAAAAAAAAAAAAAAATAAAAAAAAAAAAAAAAAAAAAAAAAAAAAAAAATTTCAAAAGTTGCGCGGCATATTTTGTTCGTTCAGAAATAGTCAAGAGATTGGGTTTTCTTATGCAAGGAACAGAAGGCACTAAGTAAGCCAGGAATCACACTTAAGCGATTGATGGCGCCCAGGGTGCCAGGGGGTGGGGGTCCATTATCCCGGGCTCCCAAGGAGGTAAAATAAAATTTAAAAAAATTAATATATAAATTAATTAATTAAGTCGAACTTAATAAAAATAAAATCTTGCACATTAAACTACAATATTTGGGGTTCAAAGGTTAAAAAAAAAAGGGGGAGGGGGGGTCAAAGGAAGGAGGACTCAGTCAATGCTTTGCCTCTGGCGCTTACAATCACTTGCAACCGAAACTACGCCACTTGCAACCGAAACTACGCCACTTGCAACCGAAACTACGCCACTTGCAACAGAAACTACGCCACCGACAATGAGAGCTCCGGTGTTGTACCAATAGCCTGCTTGAAAAATATATCGAGGCCCAAAAAATGATTTGCCAATCTACTAAAAAATTGACTGAACTGGTTCAGAGGTTCTCAAACTAATATAAAGAACAGTAACATACCTGATCCTTCTGTTTGCTCAGGTTTTCCCGAATGTTCTGAAGGTGGTTGATCATTTCGCTAATCTGTCGCTCCTTCTCGCTCAGAGTGGCCTCCCCGGCCAGCACGGCCTGGACAGTGTCCATGACCTTTGGGCTTTCGGAGGTCAAGGGCGTGTCAACCGTGGCATCCGATGCCTTGGAGTTGAGCCGCCGGAGGACGTTCTCCATCGAACGTTTCTGCGAGTTGAACAGACCCGAGGATCCCAGGATCGACGTCGACGATAAGGAGGAAGATTTCGTCGGCGAGTTCAGCAACGACGACAGCTTGAGATCCGCGGCCTCTGATTCGGAGCCGGACTCTGGGCCGTCCTGGGAGAATGCGGCCCTCGTCTCGGTGTCCGTCTCGCGGTCCTTGGCGTCGATATCCACGTCTGCCGTGGTCAAGTCCTCGACCTCCGTGTCGTCATCCACTCGGTCGTCGTGGAAGTTGTCGTTGCTGTGGTCGGAGTGGATGTCCGCCTCCTCGTTGTCCACCTCCGTGTCAGAGTTGCCCGGGGAGCACGGGGCGTCGTCTAATCCCAGAGCGGAGTGATTCTTCACCACGTCTTCCTTTGGTAGTTTGGTGGGCGTGTTCTTACGCTTCGAAGACATAGTCCTGTCAAAATCAAAAGAAAAAAAAATGCATGATATTATTGAAATTTCAATCCAATGAAATAAGAAATATGCATTAGGTAATGGAAGATGACTAGTAATGGATTATATTATTCGTTGGGATGACAAAAAATTAATTAGAAATTAGATGGTTATCAATGTTAACATTTTAATTTCAAAAAGCTGGATCGAGTCTGTCGGAAATGACCAAAGCTATAACCTAATGGAAGCTATCCGTTGAGGACAGGGTTGAACACTTAAGATCTCAACGAAACAAAAGACATACAAAGAAGCAAACACATCTGCATTATAGAAATAAAAAATAAAAAAATCGAAATATTATTATAGTGTTACTTTGAAGAAATGGCTAGTGACGTCGTCAGTCACGGTTTCAAAATAGTCAGTTAGTCATCTCAACGTCTCAAGCCATGGTAAGACACTTAAAATGTTGCAAGCAAAACTATAGACGAAACTTACGATGAAATGAAATGGCTCACAATTTAAAATTTCAGAGGTAACCTTGAACAAAGGTCATCACACTTTATTTCAGCGCCCCTAGCGTCCCCCCACCAAAAAAAAAATAATTAAAATATAAATATAAAAATAATTCATTTAAAGCACTTTGGCGGCAATTTGTTGCACAATGCTCGATTGTCTCGTGGCCCAAAACTATTTAGGCGCATGCGCCTCGGTGCACGTTCGCACGGTGGTCTGCATGGGGCCCATTCATAAGATTCGTCCATTCTCTTGCAATCACATCATGCCGCCCTACACCACATAAAAAAAGGAGGACCCTCTCCTCACTAGTGGGATGCTTGAACAATGTCCATTTGTCCATCCCTCTCAGGCCTTCCACGCGGTTATCTCAAATCGTGACGACAGGGTTGTAAAGGAAGAAACATTGCAACCGGTGGTTCTCAAATTGGAGAAAATGTGTGAAGACAGACATTCAACATGAACGACCATATCGATATTATCTGTGTAATTTAGTGTTACAAATTCAACTATTTCTATATAATACCACCGGGGGGGGGGGGCTTGTTATTCAATAGATTTAAGATACACTGGGAAACATTGGACGTCATTAATTATATGTTACTTCATTGTTATTTCATTTTTTTCTTTCTGGAGACCGGTTACATCTCGGACAAAAAAAACAACAACATAATTATATCCGACCGCACAACTGAAACTCAATAGTATATATGGTAAGACTCGTCATAATATTTGATGACACCCTTGACACAGAAGTGTGAGAGTCCCTGACACCGGTAATATTCATAACACTCAGACGCACATAAGTGTGAGAGTCAATGACACCGGTAATGTTAAGAAAAAAGACTCAGACCCACATAAGTGTGAGAGTCACTGACACCGGTAATGTTCAGAAGACTCAGACCCACATAAGTGTGATAGTCACTGACTCCGGCAATGTTCAGAAGACTCAGACCCACATACGAGTGGGTTGCAGGGTCACCAGGAATGCTCATCTGAGAGCAGAAATAACTTTTTAGCCACTTATTTTTATTTTTTAATTTTTTTTAAATTTAACAAAACCAAATCCCCTCAAAGCTTCCAGGCCGGTAGCTTGTAGGACAATGGCCAGTCTGTAGGGAGAGATAAATGAATCAAACACGTGCGTCTGGTGGTTGTGAGTAGATGCACGTACGGGAAGCGGGCTTGAAGTGAGCCACACAAACGTGCTGATGGGTGGTGCTAACATTCATTCCTTGGGCGGCTTGAGAGAGAGATAGAGATGTAGAGAGAGGGAGGGGGGCAGAGGGGGAGAGATGGAGAGAGAAAGAGGAGGGAGAAAGAGAAGAAGGGGGAGAGAGAGGGAGAGAGAGGGAGAAAGAGGGTGAGAGGGAAAGAGACGGAGAGAGAGATTGAGAGAGAGAGGGGGAATAGAGAGAGGGAGATAGAGGGGGAGATAATGGGGGATAGAGAGGGGGTAAGAGGGGGAGGGAGAGGGAGAAAAGGGGAGAGAGATGGAGTGAGGGGGAGAGGGGAGAGAGAGAGGGGAGAGAGAGAGAGTGAAGAGAGAGAGGGGAGAGAGAGAGAGAGGGGAGAGAGAACGAAGTAGAGAAAGAGAGAGAGGGGCATAATTGTGTGGGTTAAGTTAATGACCGCCATGATGGGGTTTAAAGTAGTGCTGTTTATCAAACGAATACTTGCGTCATTTAAAAATAAAAAACTTAACAGTCAAAAATTGCTTTAGAATGAAATACTTCTTTTGTTCATCAATGGGAATTTATAGATATTATCTGACATGAAATAAACGCAATATCAAAGAAATGAAAGGGAAAAAAATGAAGGAAAAAAATGTATGTACCCTAATTAAACAACACTGCTACTAATTTCCTAAAAATGAACGGCTGAGACGAAGGAGGAAATGTGCCGAAACTTTTGTTAACTTTGGCTTATTTGGCGACCACTTTTGGGGCCTGATTTAACTGTTAGTTTGTAAATTGTAATGCTTGGTAACTGGAAATGTTTTCTATACTTTATAAAAATATTTTATTCACACATTATCCCAAATTTAACACTCTTCAAATTTAAGAAATGTATCCGTCTACAATTTGAGAAAAACAGACCTACAATTTGGGGGGGGGGGGGGGGGGGGAAGCTCTACAATTTGAGAAAAATCACTCTCTATAATCACTGCTCTACAATTTGAGAAAAATAGACTCTCTATAATCACTGATTTTCAAGTTGAGAAAAATCACTCTCTCTAATCACTGCTCTACAATTTGAGAAAAATAGACTCTCTATAATCACTGATTTTCAAGTTGAGAAAAATCACTCTCTCTAATCACTGCTCTACAATTTGAGAAAAATAGACTCTATAATCACTGCTCTACAATTTGAGAAAAATCACTCTCTATAATCACTGCTCTACAATTTGAGAAAAATAGACTCTTTATAATCACTGCTCTACTATTTGAGAGAAATGAACTTATTTTTTTGTATACTTCGACATATAACCAATTATTTTGACCACTGTAAGGGTAGGTACACTTCAGAGGCTAATAATTATACATTTAATACAAATAAATGTGGACTTACTCTTATTGCGGAGAATAAATCTGCATCCATATATATATATATATATATATATATATATATATACTCTCTCNTCTTTTTTGAAAACTGCAATAATTTTTTTTAAAAGTCTACCGTAGCTATAAAAATAATCATGATGTTTGATGAATTAGTCATTTCAATATTTTTTTTTTTTTAATAAACTAAAATTTTTAAAAAAAACAACCCCCCCCCCCCCCCACCAACTGCCCCCATTAGTGAGTGATCTGCTTGTCAGCAGGGTTATGGCCGCGCTGTTCAACGTATCACAGCGGAGCTATTTATTCCTCGGAGTCTGAGTTTATCAAAAAACGTGGGGGTGTCGACACACGGAGAGCGTCCACGGAATATCACCCTCTGTGCTCGTGTGCCCGTGTCCGGACCTGGAACACGGTGAGACGACTGCGGGATGCCCAGTTTGGTTGGCGATTCAAAAAACCTATCACGTCATAACGTTCTAGCATCTCAAGGCTGACGTGTTATACAAATCACAGCTATTATAAATTACAGGTGTAAATCACAAACTGAGACATAAATTTACTCTCCTCGCTATTTAAATTGGCAAATAAGAGAGAAAACCAGGACGATGCATACGTTGATATAGATATATATATAGTTTTTTTTTAAATATCGTCCTCTGGTAAAATAAGCGACAAGGAACAGCGACCGCTTGAAAGATAAAGTCATGAACAATTATATAGGACCATTAAGGTAGCGCAGATGTTAAATAAAGTTATAGAGGACCATTAAGGTATCGCAGATGTTATATAAATCTATATAGGACCATTAAGGTAGCGCAGATGTTATATAAAGCTACATAGGACCATTAAGGTATAGCTGATGTTATATAAAGTTATATAAAGGTCCATTAAGGTAGCGCATATATTATATAAATCTATATAGGACCATAAAAGGTAGCGCAGATGTTATATAAATCTATATAGGACCATTAAGGTAGCGCAGATGTTATATAAAGCTACATAGGACCATTAAGGTATAGAAGATGTTATATAAAGGTCCATTAAGGTAGCGCAGATATTATATAAAGCTATATAGGACCATAAAAGGTAGCGCAGATGCTATGTAAAGTTTTATGGTAGTGAAATATTAGTAGCATCAGCGGTTAAAACATACACTCACGTATTTCCAGAGGCTTAGTCTTCCTAAGTTTAACAGCGCGTTCCATTGGCTAGCTGCCCTTATATTGCTGAGCAAGACTAGCTGCCCTTATATTGCTGAGCAAGACCAGGCGTTCCATTGGCTAGCTGCCCTTATATTGCTGAGCAAGACCAGGCGTTCCATTGGCTAGCTGCCCTTATATTGCTGAGCAGGACCAGGCGTTCCATTGGCTAGCTGCCCTTATATTGCTGAGCAAGACCAGGCGTTCCATTGGCTAGCTGCCCTTATATTGCTGAGCAAGACCAGGCGTTCCATTGGCTAGCTGCCCTTATATTGCTGAGCAAGACCAGGCGTTCCATTGGCTAGCTGCCCTTATATTGCTGAGCAAGACCAGGCGTTCCATTGGCTAGCTGCCCTTATATTGCTGAGCAAGACCAGGCGTTCCATTGGCTAGCTGCCCTTATATTGCTGAGCAAGACCAGGCGTTCCATTGGCTAGCTGCCCTTATATTGCTGAGCAAGACCAGGCGTTCCATTGGCTAGCTGCCCTTATATTGCTGAGCAAGACCAGGCGTTCCATTGGCTAGCTGCCCTTATATTGCTGAGCAAGACCAGGCGTTCCATTGGCTAGCTGCCCTTATATTGCTGAGCAAGACCAGGCGTTCCATTGGCTAGCTGCCCTTATATTGCTGAGCAAGACCAGGCGTTCCATTGGCTAGCTGCCCTTATATTGCTGAGCAAGACCAGGCGTTCCATTGGCTAGCTGCCCTTATATTGCTGAGCAAGACCAGGCGTTCCATTGGCTAA